TAAAGACATGTATACTGTCCAAGAGTTCTGGTGTGGCACTGTAGGCTAAGCACTTGACCACAAAGGTAGTTGGAACCACAAGGTGGATGGTTCAAATTCAACAACCCCTTTTTGGAAACCCTATACAGGGTCGCTATGAGTCCGAACAGACTTGAAGGCATTTAACCATAAGAATAAGCTTGCTGGAGGAGCAGAACATTCAGACTTTTAGTTTCATGCTGTTGTTAGCGGCCACTGAATCCCCCTACCTCCTGGAGACTTCATGCATTACAGAGTAGAATTTCTCCATAGGGTTTTTTTTTTTTTTATTTGAGCTTGCCAGGCAAGCAGAACTAGAGGAGTCTGCCATCATTGCTTCATGAAACAGTCTCATAAGCCTGTGTAAAAACATAGAACGTGAATTTGGGGCTAAGTTAGTTTTTAGTGTTTCTAATGCCAAGGACTCACCATTCCCCAAACTCTTTATACTTTCTTCTTTCCAAGCTTTACACTTACACTCTCACGGCAATGTTCCCTGCTTATGAAAATCTTTACCATATAAAGAAAAGATGTCATAAATTATTAAATAGTTTTATTTCCTTTTGGACAATGATTTATTAAAATTCACCCACAGAGGCTTATTCTTTTGGGGCAGAAATATTAGATCTCTTGGAATCTACTAAACTGTATTGTTTATAAATTAAAATAGCAAGATGTCATTTTCATCCATCAAACTGACTAATGTTTTAGTGTTTAGTCTCTAGTAGAGGAGACATTTTATATCAGCAGTGCTGGTTTGAGGGTTCCACTGTGGTAAGCACTGAATGACCGAGTGCTGAGGGCTCTACAGTTGTTGTTGTTGTTAAGTGCTGTTAAGTCAGTTCTGACCCATAGCGACCCTATATAGGGTTTCCTAGGAGCAGCTGGTGAGCTTGAACTGCCAACCTTGCAGTAAGCTTACTTAATAAATGATGCTGAGATACGAAGGAGCTTCAAAAAGTTCATGGGGAAAAAAATCCATTATCTTTTCATTGTAAGTAACCATGAACTTTTGGAAGCCCCCTTGTATTTGGTAAATAATTTAGGAACAATAACAAGCATAAAGTTAGGTTTCCCTACTTGATGTGGTGCCATAGGATCAGCACTGGAATGAGAACCACAAGATCAGCAGTTCAAACCCATCAACTGCTCCTTGGAAACCCTATACAGGGTCTTTATGAGTCAGAACCGACTCAACACCACTTAACAACAACAATATTTCATACCAAACAGCAAAATTAATTACTAATAGTTTTAAAGAGTTAATTGAAAAAAATGAAGCAACTGGAAATTTGGAAAAAATACAGGTTAATAATCATATGCATTCATGATAAGGAAGGCTTTCCTAAATATAATCCCAGTGACAGAAGATATACGTAAGATAACCGAGCAACTGAGCTAGAGAAAAAGTAGTAAGTACCACACAGCAAAAATATTTTCACTTTATTTGTGACAAAAATGAACTGAATAAAATATCTCTAACATAAATGTAATGAGTTATAAAGTTATATTTATAAAATTTATAGAGAAATGAATTCTCCCTGCTCTAACTTCCCCCTAGCTTCCCCACCCTACACCCAAGTAAAAAGGACTGGAGTCCTGGTGTGGCGCTGTGGGTTAATGTGCTAGACTGCAAAGTCAGTTTGAATCGCAAGGTCGGTGGTTCAAGCTCACCAGGTGCTCTTCAGAAACCCTATACAGGGTTGCTGTGAGTCAGAACCAACTCGATGGCACTTTACAACAACAACAATGGAAGAGAAGATGAGCAATACTTGTTGAGAATTAGACCTGGCAGAGAGTGTTGGGAGTCAGGAGTATAGTAATTGAGCAGTTGAAAGCTCTAGAAGAAAAGGAGCATTGTGGCAGTAAGGAGACAAATTGAAGACAGAGGGCAATGTGTTTAGCAATTACCATCAGTAAAAAATGTTGAAGAGAGACAAAAATATCTACAAATAATCAGGAGGCTTTGTGTACAAAATACTGTGTAAACCCCTGGCATTACCCCCTTAGGGAATTGTACACTAAATGTTCAAAGATTTTAAAAATTGCTTAATTGGTTATGGAATGCTTTGGTTTTTTATATACACACAGGTAGATGTAGAAACCAACGCAGTCAAATTGTATTCAGTTTGGCCATGTGAGAGACAGAAAGAGAAGTTTTAAAAACCAGTAAGAGGGCCTAGATGGAGGATATGTCAAGAAACAATAGGCTCACAGGTTGATATTTTTGTTTAATAAAGGTCTCTAAGATTGTGGAGTCCTAGTGTGGCACTGTGGATTAATGCGCCAGACTGAAAAGCCATTTGAACTGCAAGATCAGTGGTTCAAGCTCACGAGCTGTTCCTCAGAAACCCTATACAAGGTCGCTATGGGTTGGAACCGACTCGGTGGCACTTAACAAGAAAAATGAGATTGTGTAGCAAAACATTTGTACTTGTCCTCAAAATTTACACTCTCGTATTAACCTCCCTTTCTGAAGGAGAACTGGAAAGAAAGGCACACATCTTTAAAAGAATGCAGTCCAATCTGTTGATTGTGATTATTGGGCACAAGCCCATGATTTTTCAACTTAGCTATTAAAAGTTACAAACATATGGACTGCAAGGTCGGTTTGAATTGCAAGGTCAGCAGTTCAAACTTGCTCCTCGGAAACCTTATACAGGAGCCAACTTGACTTGACGGCACTAAACAACTAAGAGAACGTAGGAGTCCTGGTGTGGTACTGTAGGTTAAGCGATGGGCTACTAACTGCAAGGTATGTGGAAACCCTATCCAGGGTGGCTATGAGTTGGAATTGACCTAAAGGCAGTAAACAGCAACAGTATAGAGAAAAGAACATAAGGAATCCTAAGAATGCAATGGTTAAAATATTAGACAGCTAACTGAAAGGTCAGCAGTTGGAACCCACCAGCCACTCTGAGGGAGAAAGATGGAGTCTGCTTTCATGGGGTTTCCATAGGGTTTCCAAGGAGCAGTTTTATGATCTTCCATAGAATCACTCTGAGTCAGGATCCACTTCACAGCAATGGGTCTAGAGAACATAAGCAAAACTCAATGCTGATTTCCGTTCTTATTTCTTTATGTATATACTTGTACAAACTGGGTTTATTGTAAATTATCATCATGTTATTATGTGCAAAGAGGTAAATTTGATATTGCTAAAAGATCTAGCCTAACATGACCTATCAAAAAGTCCCTGCATATAGTATTGATGCCTACTAGTCAGTTTAAATAATTTTAAATGACCAAAACATTTTATTGTACCTAATTCAGCCACACATACAAAAATAACTACCTCCAAATTTATTTCTTTCATGTTGGATACAGTATTTTTAAGGTATGTAAATCAAGTAAGTGAAGAGTTACTAATATTTTGTTTGATGACTTGTGGTAGAAGCCATATTTTCTGAAATCTGTCCTAAGCCACTTTTAGAGAAAGATAATGTGGGTAGAGTCTACACAGCAAGATGACCGAAAATACTGAGTCATTAAGAGATCGTAAACCCATGTTATAGCGCAAATTAGATTTTAAAATGCTGTGAGGCACTATAAAGTCTGCAAAATTATTACAATTGTATTCACATTGATACATATTTGTGCATATGTTACTGTCCATTAATGTTATGATAAGATGGAATTGTGTAAAATTAATTTGGATTCAATGTTGTTGTTGTTATGTGCCGTGGAGTCAGTTCCGGCTCATAGTGTCGCTGCACAGGGTTTCTGAGGCTGTAAATCTTTACAGGAGCAGAAAGCCTCATCTTTCTCCCATGGAACAGCTGGTAGTTTCGAACTGCTGGCCTTAAGGTTCACAGCCTGATCTGTAACCACTACGCTACCAGAGCTCCATTTGGACTCATTGTTGTTGTTAGGTGCCATCAATTTGGGACCGACCCATAGCGACCTTATGCACAGCAGAACAAAACACTGCCCAATCCTGGGCCAACCTCACCACTGTTGCCATGCTTGAGTCCATCAATGCTGCCACTTGACCAATCCATCTCATTTGGGGTCTTCCTCTTTTTCTCTGACCCTCCACCTTACCAAAAATGATATTCTTTACCAGTGACTGGTCCCTCCTGACAATATGTCCGAAGTATGAGAGATGAAGTTTGGCCATCTTGGCCTCCAAGGAGCACTCTGGCTGCACTTCTTCCAAAATGGGTCTATTGGTTCATTTGGCAGATCATGGCACTTTCAATATTCTCTTCCAACACCGTAACTCAAAAGCATCAATTCTTCTATGGTCTTCCTTATTCACTGTCCAGCTTTCACATGGACTCAATAAGCCCCTAAAAGTCAAAACCAATAAGAGAAAACATATATGTTCCAAAATAATAAGTAAAGTTTTTGAAAAGGTAATACAATTAAAAAGAAAAATTGTTATAAACATGAATAAATGTCCTATTACTGCTGTCAAGTTGGTTCTGACTCATAGGGACCCAGTGTAGGGTTTCTGAGGAGTGGCTGGTGGGTTTGAACGACTGGCCTTGTAGTTCAAACTGAACTTGCAGTCCAGTACATTATCCTGCAGCAGCACACCTGGAGTGTTTTAGTTACATTAGTGACTAAAGTCATGTAAAATTAAAGCAAAATCGTTTCATGTTGGCATAGCCCTTTTCTCTCAAAAAGTTACCTCGAAACAAGAAGATTAAGAAATATAAGCTCCGTTCAAAGTCAGTGAGCCAAGGCAACATGCATAATTCAAAACCACAGTATGTGAAATCAGAAAGAGAGTGGAGGAATGACAAAGGGGAGACAGTCAGGTAAAGGAGGAAGGTGGCAAAGACTAGCAATTCTATTTAGCATGTAGCTAGCAGAACATGGAGGATTTTTAGGTTACAGCAATGTCATGCTGGTTCAACATGGGATATATTTCTAACATTTTATGTTCAAGACACTCATTTCCATATACTAAACAGCTAGTTCTTGTATTTTGAAGATTTGCCCTAAGCCATGCTATTCTTTGCTTTGTTTTTTAGGTACCATCAAAAGCCCAACATCTTACTCAACAGCTTCCCTACCACCACCTCCACCGTCCCATCCATCCAGCCAACCACCATTGCCAGCATGCTATCCAACACAACCACCAGTTCCAAGCCTACCGCCCAGAAACATTAAACATACCTTTGATTTAAAGTAAGTGAACAATTAACTTGCTATTTTTTAGGTGAGATTTTCAAATTACGTTTGGCTGAGTGCTGAGAGTTCCACTGTAAACTCTGAAAAATAGTGCACATGGCAGACAGCAGGATTTATTGAGCATACACTCCACTCGCATGCCACTGTAGCTTGTTTTATGTTGTTTCCCATTAAAATTTCATTCGAAAAGCATCTCTACTGCTTTCATTAAAAAGTCAGTACCATCAGCACCACACCGTCTCCTCCATCATTACCATCACCATCATCCACATCACCACTATCATCACCACTTTTCATGACCTTATAAAGTGAGTACAATTATCCTTATCACATGCATAAGGAACTACAACTTTAATCAAGTAACTTCTCCAAGATCACACATGGTATACAGGGAAATTGGAAGCAATGTCAGTCTAACGCAAAGTAATTGTGTGCTCTATGTTGCTTTTGTTATTGTTGTGTGCCACCAAGTCAACTGGAACTGATAACAATCCTTAAGGCAGAGTAAAACTACACTGTAGGTCAGTTTGAACTGCAAGGTCAGGGGGTCAAGCGCACCAGCCTTTCCTTGGACACTCTATACAGAGTCGCTATGCATCAGAACTGACTCAATGGCATTTGACAACAACAGAACTGCGCTATAGGGTTTCCCTAGCTGTAATCTTTATAGTTCACAGAAATTCTATAGGACAAAGTAGAGCTACCCTGAATTAATGTGTTGGTATATAACAAGTCTTTACAGGAGCAGAATTCCAGATCTTTTCTCTCACAAAGCTGAGAGTGGATTCACACTGACAACCAATCAGTTAGCAACCAGCAGGAAAGAAAGCTATCATTTCCTCTTTTAAATAAAAAACATAGGTTAGTCTCTCTTCCTTCAGAAATTTTGTCTTAATTCAAGGCCACCCTAGCCACAACTTACCAGAATAACTGCTGAGGTAAAGGGAAATAGGAGATTGGAACAGGATAAAACGTTGTTTGAAAAAGAAATACTCAGGTGACGACAGAACATAGATCCCATGACAAGACTAGCTCTTCTCTTATAGAAACTGGTAGTTTCTCTATAAATTTTAGAGATTCGACCCTTGTCTGAGATGTCATTGCAAAACTTTTTTCCCAGTCTGTGGGCTCTCTATTTACTCTTTTGGTTAAATCTTCTGATACACATAAGTGTCCAAAAAATTATGTTTTTTTTTTACTTCTGCTATTGTGTGTTTTTAGTTATGTCCTGATATGGCACTGTAGGATAAGCTCAGAACCTTAAGGTAGATTTGAACCACAAGATGTTGTTGTTGCTAATTGCCATTGAGTTGGGAACCGACTTATAGTGACCCTGTACAGGGTTTCCAAGGAGTAGCTGGTGAGTTGGAACTACCTGCCTTAATGGCCCAAACCAACGTTGCAATTTACCGCATTAACGAGCAGCGCCACACCAGAAGTCCGAACCACAAGACAGACAGTCCAAACTCACCATCCACTCCTTGGAAATCCTATTCTGTGAGTTAAACCTGACTTGATGACACTTAACAATTGTAAAAACAACAAATGCCTTGTATCTGAGCCCCTAAGTTTGTCTTCAAAACAGTTTTATCACCTGAACTACTACTTCATAAGGACCCCCCATTTCCCAGCTTTGCAGAGAATTCTTACAAAGAGGGCAAAGTTTAAAAGTATCTGCCAACCAGTCAAGTTGGTATTCTTACTTGTAATATTGTTTTCATCAAAGATGAACATAATCCACCAATAATAATAAACGTTGTGTCACCCTATTGCCATGTTTTTAAGGATTCTTAATCATAAAATCCAGTAGTCCTGGTGTGGTGCTGCAGAATAAGTACTGGACTGCTAATTACAAGGTCAGCAGTTCAAACCCACCAGCTGCTCCTTGGAAACTGTAAACAGGGTCGCTATGAGTTGGAACCAACTAAATGGCACTCAACAACAACAAAAATAGTAAAGTCTGGTTCATCTAAGGATTGCAACTCCACAGAATGCATACTCAGAAGAAAGATGGAAAGAAACAAGACTCATCCTGCCTGGAGATTACCTAAAGGAGGAGCATGTGGAAGTTAAGTGAGGGAAAAGCGACGGTCAAAGTTAAGTGTCAACTATAAGCTTTTTTCATTTTTTTAATCAAAAGTGAAAATGTGGCATATAGTGAAGGACTTTTATGCTCCTATCAGAGAGCTTAAATTCCAAAATGAAGAAATATCTGGGTTAGAAAATTCCTCCCAAATAGGGGAAGCTAGATAAGATGTGGAGAGGAACTGAAAGTTAACTGGGTCGTATATTCAGATTCAAAAGCATCTGAGAAAAGGGTATTTATGATGGGCTTTAAGTAGAATTACAAAAAATGTAGCTGTTTCCTCATGTTGTTAAGTTGATAAGTGTTGTCGAATCGATTCCTACCCATAGTGACCCTATATAGGGTTTCTGTGGAGCAGCTGGTGACCTTGAACTGCTGACCTTGAGGTTCAAACTGACCTTGTAGTCCAGCGCATTAATCCACAGTGCCACACCAGCACTCAAATCACTGCCCTTCAAACTGCACATAGAACTACTTCATAGGTATCCCTTCTGTCTGCCTAAAAATGTTGCTCATCTCCCCTCTAATCAGAGCCCCCCCACTTCAAGTCAAGATCTGCTAGATATGTTTTTTTTCATTCATTTATCCAATACTTTTGAGCCAGATATTGTCATAGGAGCTCAAGGACTGTCATTAAAAAAAAACAAAAATCCCTTCCCTCAGAAAACAGGAGATAAGAGAGCAAAACAATAAATATAACAAGCATGAAGTCTATTATTTATATAAAAATAATATGTCAGGGAGTACTAAGTAGGAAAAAACAGGGTAGAGTTTAGGTGGTGAGATTGGACAGTAAAGGTTCAGTGGAAAATCTTTACCTTCCATGCAGAAGAACACAGTTTGATTCCCAGAAAATCCACTTCTGGCATAGCCACCATCCATCTGCAAGAGAGGTTTGCATGTTGCAATGATGGTGAACAACTTTCAGTAGAGTTCCCAGACTAAGATAGACTAGGAAGAAAGGTCTGGCAGTCTACTTCCAAAATAAACAAAACAAAACGCCAGCCACTGAAAACACTGTGGTTCACAGTGATCAAATCCACAATCAATCATGGTGATAGCACTGAACTGGACAGTGTTTCATTCCATTTGTGCATAGGGTTGCCATGAGTGAGGGCCAACTGGAAGGTGGCTAACAACAATAACAGTTGTTGAGAGGATTATGAAGGTGGGGTAGGAAATAGTGTGTTGCAACGTTAAGTAGAGAGGTATGGATAGCTGTCTTTATAGAAAGTCATATGTGAGCACGAACTTAGTTAAGAAAGTGAAGAAGATAGGTAGGAAGTGAGGCTTGATGGCAGCTAGGGTGAAGGTGTTGTGAAGGTCGCCGCCAGCAATAACTCAGAATTCCAGGCAAAAAAGAGGCAAGACAGAGCTCCAAGACT